TAGAGCATTTCTAGTTTGGTTACACACAGCCAAATTGAGTAACAGGAAGAGGTCTTGGACACAAATTTGTTCCATGCTAAATGTAGAGGAATCAGCTGAGTATTCCTCAAATAAAATAAGTTGCCTCAGCTTATAAGGTAAATAAAATAAGCATTTCTCAAATAAGTAGCTGCCTCACCTCACTGCCTTACTGCTACATAGCCTTCCCGGCATGGTGCCTTCTTTTGATAATTACTTGTTCCACACCCAAATTGTATAACAGGAAGAGGTCTTGGACCCCTACTTCCCTCTCTCTTTTTTAATAGTCTATATAGTCATAATTATAGCTTTAAGTATTCAATGAATAAAGTTTTTGACATTTTTACCCTTTTCCTTACCTAACATCATTTGTGCAGCATATTTTTATTTTATGTCTCACCCAGATTTAATTTCAAAATAAAACCAAACTAAATAAATTAGAAATGGGTATGTATAGCTAAGGTACACCCTTACTACTAGGTGAACAGGGGCATTTGGTGATAGTAAATGATCCCATCAGGCAGGGCTCATCACCTTCTCTCATATTTCATGTTCACCAGTGTTTATTTACTTAATAACTACTGGTATAATATCTTGCTATTATAAAACTAATTCTACTATCATCAAACACATATTTACTTCAAGTTTCAAGCAGAGAATGCATATATAACTAACACGAAGGACTACTCTTCACTAGATTCACCAGCTATAATATTTTGGTCATGTTCCAATATCATAAATCGATCCCAGTGTTATGTAGAGAAAAAATGACTTATATCCAGTTTACATAAAGCTACGAGTGGTCGAAACCACACTTAAATCCCGGAATGAACTTACGAGGGTTTTTCCACTTAGGGTAGTTAATTGAATACGGACGTAGCCGCCACGAAGGCGCTAAGACGGAAAACGCTCTTAGCTAAGAGGAAAAACCTTCGTAAGTACCTTCCTGAATCCGGCCCCAGCTGCTCTCTTGATTCACTCAGATGTTCCCTTCGTCCCGTTACTTTTCTCATCGCCTCTCCACTGTTCTGTTGCCTGTGTATTTGTGCATAAGTGGTATACGGTTTGTTCCATTTATCTCACCCCCCCCCCAATGTCCCACTTTCTCTTCCCGATTTTAAACACCACCTAGACTCCTTGCCGGAGCCTGTGCTCCTGCTGGGTGATTTCAATTGTCGTCATGCCCTTTGGGGTGATGTGCTGACGAACACCCAGGGTCGCCTCCTTGAACCTTTCATCCTCTCTTCTTCCCTATCCCTCCTGAATTCTAGTGAGCCCACTCATTTGGACTCTCGGACTCGCTCCCTTTCCTGTCTCGATCTTTCTCTGTGCTCGTCATCCCTTTCCTTAGAGTTCGGGTGGCGGGTCCTTGATGACCTCCATGGCATTGACCATTTTCCTATCCTTGTTACCTTTTTTTCTTTTCACACTCCTCTCTCCTTCCCTAGGTGGCAGTTTGCCGAGGCTGACTGGCACCTCTTTACTCTCCGTGCTACTATTTCCGACCTCTCCATTCTGCCTCTCCCTCATGCCCTCCTTCTTTTTCATGACACTGTCTTTGACGCTGCCCTCCGCTCTATTCCTCGCCCTTCCTCTCGGGTAACGCGAAAGTGCGTTCCCTGGTGGAATGTGGACTGTGCTCGGGCTGTCCGTTGTAAGCGTACAGCCTAGAACAGACATCACTGCCGGCAGACGGTTGAGTCTTTTCTTTTGTTTTGTAAGGCGACTGCTGTGGCCCGTAGGACCATCCGTGCGGCTAAATGTGCATGCTGGATGTCTTATGTCTCCGCCGTTACGTCCGAAACTCCTCTGCCACTGGTCTGGAAGCGTATCCGGAAGATAGCGGGTAAGTTCGTTCCCAATGTCTCGCCAGTCCTTCGCCTACGTGGTTCTCTTGTGGCGGACTCGTTGCAGGTCACGACCGAACTGGGTTCCCACTTTTAATCTGTTAGTTCTGGTTCTCATCTTCCCCAATTTTTCCTTCTTCGTAAACCTATTCTTGAATCTTGTCATTTAGATTTCTGTACTCATCTTCGCCTTCCCTATAATGTGCCCTTCTCTCTCTCTCTCTCTCTCTCTCTCTCTCTCTCTCTCTCTCTCTCTCTCTCTCTCTCTCTCTCTCTCTCTCTCTCTCTCTCTCTCTCTCTCTCTCTCTCTCTCTCTCTCTCTCTCTCTCTCTCTCTCTCAGCTTCAGTCTGCCCTAGCCCTCTGCGGTTCTATGGCGGCGGGCTCCAATGGCATTCATTATGAAATGCTTCGCCATCTCTCTCCGTGCACGTCTCAGTATTTACTGAGTCTATACCATCGGGTCTGGGAGTCGTCGTCAGTCCCTGTGGACTGGCTCAATGCTGTTGTCCTCCCTGTTCGGAAACCAGGGTCTCTCGGGTCATCCCCCAAGGACTTCCGCCTTATTGCCCTCACGAGTTGTCTGCAAGCTCTTTGAACGTATGGTTAACGTTCGTCTGGTGTGGTTCTTAGAACACCATCACCACCTCTCCCCTTGTAAATATGGTTTCCGCAAGTGCCGCAGCACAACAGATGTCCTGGTGAATTTGGAGGTCTATATTCGTACTGCTTTTGCTCCTCCGTTGTTGACCGTCTTTTTTTTACCTGGAAAAGGCTTACGACACCACTTGGCGATGTCATATTCTATCCTAGCTTCATTCTTTTGGACTTCGTGGTCGTCTCCCTCTCTTTCTCCGCAGCTTCCTCTCTCGTCATTCCTTTCGGGTGAGGCTTGGTACGTGAGGCTTGAAAAGAGGCTCTCCCTGCTTCTTTTCAGCAATACGAAGGTGTGCCCCAGGGTAGAGTTCTGAGCACTACCCTTTTTCTGGTTGCCCTCAATGGTCGTCTTTCCTCTCTTCCTTCAGGAATCTAATCCGCTCTTTATATCGATGATCTTACCCTTTGCTGTCAGGGTGATGATTCGCCTCTCCTTCAACGCCGGCTTCAACTTGCGATTGATGCCGTGTTGTCTTGGGCCACCGATCATGGCTTCAAGTTCTCTACTACTAAGACTTGTGCTATGACTTTTACTCGGAAGCGTGTCGTCCTTCGTCCTTCTTTGTCGCTTTATAGTCGTCCCATTGTGTACAAGGATTCCACTAAGCTTTTGGGGTTGATTTTTGGCACTCGTTTGTCTTGGTCTCCCCATATCTCTTACCTCCGTGTTGAGTGCTCTAAGGCCCTTACCCTCTTTCGGGTATTGTCCCATACTTCTTGGGGGGCAGATAGGCGCACTCTACTCGCTTTACATTCCTCTCTCGTCCTATCTAAACTCGATTATGGTTGCCCTGCTTACTCGTCTGCTTCTCGTTCTACTCTTCGCCGTCTTGATGCTTTGCACCATACTGGGTTGCGCCTCAGTTCTGGTGCCTTTCGTTCGACTCCCATCCTCAGCTTGTATGTTGACACTGGCTTCCTATCTCTCTAGGAGCGCCGTGATCGCTACTGTCTTCGCTATCTTGCACGGTCCTTGCAACATCCTTCCTCTCGCCTCTGTCGTGCTTTAACTTTTACCCCTCCTGCGGTTCCTGTTCCTCTTACCACCTCTCTCTTTCTGTCCGGTTATCTCTTTCAGTTCATATCTATATAAAAAAATGGAAATGTTCGTTTGTTCAAAATCGCTAATCTCCGGAAATTCTTCTCCGATTGCTTTGAAATTTTCACACAACGTTCCATTCGCATCTGAGCAGGTTTTTATATACATACTATTTAGATGTCACGTCTGTGACGGAAAAAAACCATGCTTTTTCTGAAAAACTGCGATTTTCATGTGTTTTTCATGTGAGGGAAATCTTCGAAACCTCTTTACCGATTGCTTTGAAATTTTGACACAACGTTGTATTCAAATAGGCGCATCTTTTTGTATGCCTACTATATACATGCCTCACCTGGGACAGGAAAAAACATGCTTTTTTTATGCTGAGACTTGGACCAGATGAAGCCGTTTTCATATACAACTAGTAAATAAAGTTTGATTGAAATTGAACAACTTTTATTTTTTGGTGTTAGGCCCCCTTAACCGTGTCGTGGCACAGTCGATTAAGGCGCATCTGGGATCCTCTCGGACGTAGGTTCGAACCCTCATCACGGCCCTTATGGATTTCTTCACAATAACAAGTATTTCTATCTTTGTATTCACTCTTCTCCAGGAAAGGAAAACCACAGTTACTATCGGACTGTTTACTTGATGAAAACTATAATTTGCTTCCAGCGATACTTTACTTTATACACGGTATACATTACTATACATTACTTGCTTCATGTTGTATGATCCTTAAGAAGATAAGAATGAAGGTAACTGCAGAAGGCCTATTGACCCATACGAGGCAGCTCCTATTTATAACCACCCAATCTCATTAATATATGTCTAACCTATTTAATATATATGAAAACGATCAAGGGATCCCACTTCTATTATGTTACGCGGTAATTGGTGCCACAGATTACCGAATAACTTGCTTCCTGGTATACATATTTGGTTTAAGTTATACATTTTTCGTTTAAGCATACATATTTGGTTTAAGTATAAATATTTTGTTTAAATTGTACATATTTAGTTTAAATTTTACATATTACGTTCACATTATACATTATTTCCCACCAGTTATTCATTATTTGGTTTTAGTTTGTCATTACTTCCTTTAAGTTATACATTATTTTAAATACGATATACTTTATTTACTTCAAGCTATACATTACTTGCTTAAAGTTATCAATTAGAAACCTGTCATATGAAGAAAGATTGACAAAGCTTAAATTATATTCTTTAGAAAGGCGAATAATTAGGGGTGACATGATAGAGGTGTACAAGTGGATGAATGGGCATAATAAAGGGGATATTAATAGGGCATTAAAAGTATTAACACAAAATAGAACACGAAAAAATGGGTATAAATTGGATAAGTTTAGTTTTAGGAAAGACCTGGGTAATTACTGGTTCGATGATGAGGTTGTTGATTTGTGGAACCAGTTACCTAGTAACATAATATTAGTAGGATCCCTTGATTGTTTCAAGCGTAGGTTAGACATATATATATGAATGATATTGAGTGGATATAAATAGGAGCTGCCTCGTATAGGCTAAAAGGCTTTCTACAATTACCTTCATTCTTACGTTTTAATGTTCAATTATTTGCTGCAAAATGTGCATTATTGACATCAACGTGCTTATTGTGGGCTCAGGTGTAGGTGGGTGACTTACACTTACAGATGTACCTAGTGGATATAAGTACAGGTGGGAGACCCAGATCTAGATAATAGTCCTAGGGGATGGTAGTTGTCTCAGGTAGGTGGAGGAAGTATCTAGTGGTCCAGGTTTATCTGGAGTTGGCTCAGAGAACTCTTCTCAACCCAGACTACAGTTCATACAAGGTACCTAGTGTTTCCAGGCAGGTGCAGGAAACAACCACCTAGAGTTAACAAGTGGTTGGAAGAAGACGTCTATGTTTGCAGGTAAGTGCCTGGAGGTGGGCTCAAATCGCTGGGTGGGGGCAGACGTCAGGCTGGACACAGTAACGAAAGGAAGATCGGTGTTGGAGAGCAAGGAACCTGTGCAGGTCTCAACGGTGGCTGGCTGACCGACGGTGAGACAGTTGAAGTACTGCTGGTCACACGTCGGGCACTTGGGGAAGCGTCCCACTGACGTGCACGTCATGGACTCCTGGCAGACTGGAGTTGTTAGGGTCGTACCTTCCCCCGGTGACCGTGTAGTCGTTACACAGTTTGTTACAAGGGGCGCCGGCCACACAGCGACCCACGCTTACGTCGAAGTTAGACCCTTTAGGGCAGCTTACTAGGTATTGCTCGTCGGCTAGTCCCACTTTGGTACACAAGTAGTACTTGGTGCAGTCGTAGGGGTCGGGAGCCTCTGTCCCTGCGGCATAGCAGTAGGCAATACACGGGTCACCACAACATACGTTCTCGTCGTCACTGCAAGCCTGGGACACACCGTCAAAGTAAGGTTTGTTCGCAGGGCATTCCAAGGGTCCCGAGAGGCTACCATTCACGCAAACGTAGTAGGTGTTGCAACTTCCCCGGTCAAAGATCTCATCTAGGTCACTGACGCAGGTTACAACGCATGCTGGTAGCGCACATGGAGGGTCACAAGGGAGTGTACCAGTACAGTCAGAAGTTGATGTGTCGAAGGAGGAACCATCTGGACAAGGCGCAGGAATGTCCGAGGGAAAGACATCTGCTAAACAGAGGTAAAATCGAGTGCAGTTGAGAGGATCAGCAACCATACCCGTAGGTGTGGGGGCACTGCACACCGGCTCACAGACTCCAGCAGCGAGGCCGCAGAGCAGGGCTGCCACCCACGCCACCTGCAGCAGACACCCGCCACGTTAAAGTTCCTACTAAAATTCCCTCTGATTACAAAGAAAAATTACACATTATTGAAGTGTTAATAAAATTACCAGTCACCAACAAATTTAGCAAGCTGTCTCGGAGAGATACTGTTTCTATAGTTGTCAGTGTTGTTTTATGCTTTAATATTGTTATAGTTGTGAGTGTTCTGAACGGTCTCAGTTCTATAGGAAGAGAAAACTTCAAGCTAGCTAACAGGGGTCAGAAGTCGTCTACTTCAGTAGTCACCTTTGTTAGTTGTCAGTGTTGTAAAATAATAGCAATAGTGTAAAATAATAGCATAATTATTTTATTTACATAGTGTAAATGACACGATACTGAAGTGACAAGTAATATCAGCAAGTTTGCTTACAACACAACGATAGGTCGTGAACCGAATACAAAAGAAGAATGATGATCTAAAAAAATTTGGCAGTCCTGGAATATGGCAAGTGTAATTTAACACTGATTTATGTAAATTCATTAACCTAGGGAAAGTCACCGATGCTATTCAACACAGCAATAATACATTCATAGGTGGATAAAATTGCGAGACAGGAGTCATGATAGGTATCGACCCGAGGCCGAGAAATCAATGCATCTATGTATGAAATAACGCAAGCAGGGCGCTGAGAATTAAAATAAATAGGCTATTTTGTGAATGTGATTATGCACAGATCAGAGGCTGTGCGAATTGGTTTGGTTTGGTGTTGGGCTTAAGGCCTATCAACCTCTGGAGGGTTAAGACCACCACAACAGCTCACTTTTTTTGTCTACTAAGTAACCTTCCTGCCTACCTATCCACACATAACAAATGTAATAAAAAAGTAGCATAATTATTGTATTCTAAATTTTCTTGCATTCTCGCCAGCTAATATACTTTAGTCAGAAACATAATCCAGGGATAAAGTAGACTCTATATACACCGAGTAGTGGGGTATACCTCTCAGTGTTACATTTATCTTAAGTTATTATGATTCATCAACGAGTTAAATATTTGTTTAAACGTAATTTAAATATTGTAATTTTGAAATATATGGAGTTTTAGATCAATTTAGAAAATTTCTTTAATTTTCTCAAAGTATATAGCATCAACTATATAACATGTATATAACAACTATAGCATCTAACAATGGTTTTCAAATTACTATTAAAAAAGACCCAAGCAAATAACCAGTGAAGCGCAGCTTGCAGTCCGCCGCTGCCCAAAGAGGTGTTTGAAACAAACATCGTTTTAGAACCCAATGATGTTTTGTTTGAATTTCTTTGTAATTTAGACACGTGCTTAGGTCATTCTGGATAACATAAAAGACGTGGGATCACTTGATTGTTTCAAGCGTAGGTAAGACATATATAGGAATAGTAGGGATGGATAAAATAGGAGCTGCCACGTATGGGCCAATAGGCTTTCTGCAGTTTCCTTTATTCCTATGTTATGTTGATCACAGGTGAAGTGTCTTCCTATGAAAAGGCTGAGGTTACAATTCTAACTGACAGACGTTTACATTAGCAAATGTATACAAATTTAGGTCCAAAATACTATTGAACACTCTGCATGTATCTTAGAAATCCCTTGTGGATTACCGAGAGCGTCAACAGCAGCAGTTGCTTGGTCATGTTGGAGACGCTGTACAGCTGAAAGTTAACTGCTGAGGTGTGGTGCTGCTGCTGCTGACCTTACGTCTCGATGTGGCTCCTACTGTTTTGTATTCCTTGGAACAAGTGAGCTGGGCTTGCTAGTTGAAACTAACTATGGGTTCAGTAGCCCATTGCCGCTACTGCTGCCTTGAAGTCGATATTTATACCCTAATCCTTATCACATTTACGCTTTTGATACACTGCCAGCGAAACTATTGAGGCCAAATAAATACATAAAAAATCATATTCACATTTTCATAATTTTCACACATTATAATTTTAAATTAATGTACATTTTTACATTTCCTTCTTTACTAGTAAGCATTCTCAAATGCTTTTACGTAAAAATTCCGTTCTGTTTTCTGTTCAGCAATCGCCAAGTTGTACTTCCAACGTATGACCTCGTACTCTGATTTTCAATTTTTTCTGTACCGTCCTTTATCCATTTTTTTCTGCTTAAAAAGTTTTTATATCAGTTATTTTCAGTATACAGTCGTTTTCTTGATTCGATTCCCTTTTGTATCTTAGATACCAAGAATAGATTTCTTCTATTTTTAACAGTTTTTCTATTCACCCATGCACTCCTCCTCAACCCATTTCGTTTAATTTTGACTTATCATGCAGTCTTATCATTTGACTTTGACTTTTAGCTTGCTGCTAAATTAAGCACCATATAACACATTCACAATATACAATTTGAAAAAAACATAGCACAGACCATATACACTGACGGATCACTCAATACCGCTACAGGGAGGGCAGGAAGTGCTATTATTGCTCATCAGCCCGATGGCAGCACAATTCAAAGGAATATCCGAATTAGTAACTGGGCATCCACAATGCAATCTGAGTTGGTAGCAATATTGGTAACACTCGAAATTATTGACAACACTGAAGTAGACAGTTTAATTATTTCAAACTCCCTTTCCTCACTACGAGCAATAAACAGTTTGCAATCAAGTAATAACGTGATTGTCTTGGAAGCTAGACATAGATATATAAGAATAATTGGCAAGAGGGTAAATATAAAAATGTTGTGGATTCCTTCTCACATTGGCCTGCAGGAACATAACAAAGTTGACGCCCTTGCTAAGGCTGCAGTAAATAAAGACAGTATTGAACGGAATCTTGAGCTATCAAATTGGTCCCTTAAAAGTGTCATTAGACGAGAACTCCAGGATGGATTTGAAGAAAGTAGAACAGTGCAAACTGGAACTAGCAGGTCCATTGTTCATCACAATGAAATGTGTGAAGTAAAACATGTGTATGGGGCAAGTAACAAAGTCAGTAGACTAACAGATGTTGTCACAGCTCGTATAAGACTTGGCTACAAGTATCTCTCTGGCAGTTCGGCTTGTATAGGGATCTAGATGAAGTAAAGTGTAAAGTGTGTGGACAAAGACAGGGACACACACTCGAACACTATATCTTGGATTATAGTAAAATTGAGCCATTTAGAGATAAATCTAAGCTCACTCTGTATGATATGGCAACCTATATTATTACCAAGGATAAAATACCTAAAATCCTTGCACTGCATCCATATTTCGCTTCCAGTAGATGAACGACATATGAGATTAAGAAACAAGTAGTGTATTGTGAAAATTAATAATAAACAGAAGCTCCCCTATTACTCTGTAATATCTCCATTGGTCAAACTATTATGTATTAGCGATAAGACCTACCATTAATGTATAATGACTTACTGTAAATCTATAGCTCTTGAAATAGCCCTTTTTCTGCAACTAGCTGACATTGTAACTATAAGGTGTGAATGATAGATGAAATTGTTTATGTAATAATCTAAGATGAGGTCTGATAAAGACCTTTTGTGCCCTCTGTAATGCTTTTTGCGCTACCGCTCACATGATGGGGTATGGGGTGCACAATAAACTAACAACAACAAAGCGCTTAACAAGGACCAAGAGGCCTCATCCGGTGCTCCCTAATTCTCATGTTCTTAAAACGACTCAACAAAATAAATAGTGTACACATTTCCCTGATCAGAAACTAATGTTCCTGTAGTTTATTCTTCAAACTATATATGCTTTTAATGTTCTTACTGTTTAACGCATTAAAACAATTAGTGTTTTAATGCTGGTTGTGTTGTTTTTAGTCTACCTTCTCTGAGTGTGACCAGCAAGACCTGAAGCGTTTGGGAATATTCTCACGATAAATGAGGACTTGAGCAGAGCTCGGTTGATTAGCTGTTGGGAAATTTACCAGCCGTCGTGATGTCATTGAGGTAACTGAAAGATATAATATTTTGTTGTATTGCCCCTTGGCAACGCAACTTGTCATCCATAAGTAAAAGTATATCACCTATTGGTCGAGAGAAAGAAGGCAACAACCAAGCAACCAAGCTTTCCTAGGCTTAGTATAGTAATTATACATAATAAATGAGGCTTAAAATGGCGTATATTAGGCCTTCGATCAATTATTTAGGCCTAGGATAGGTTAGGTTGTATATTTAATGTTTCATCTTTAGTGTACAATTTGGGGTATTCCATGGAACAAAACCTGAACTTTACTGGATACAACAGTTAATTTTTGTACGTTCTCGGTAGTACAGTTGGGTTCGTTCTAGACTCTCAATCGGGAATCTCGGCCGAGACAGAAATAGTATATCAAACTGTATTTTATATAAATTTTGAATATATATACGTTGTTGTTGTTGTTAAAGTTTCGCTACTCGGAACAAAAAGTTCCAAGTAACACGGGCTATGGTGAACCTGAGTAATATATGTACATATGATACAAGTAAAGGTTGATTGATTCACTAGTGATTACTACCATTCTTGCTTTTACTAATACTAGTGAGAAAATCATTTGCAGCATTGCGGGAATAGAACCAGCGTCCTGGTGAATACTAGATGCACGCCTTAACCCATTAAGCCAAGTCAGGACAAAAAACTAGCTAATTGACTAGCATTGCAAATCCTACAGAAGTCATTTCTAGGTCATATAACCTGTGTGTTCTGAATGATTTTGAACCAGGTTAGTTTGTTTATGTAAAATGCTGATGGGGTTCAAATTTCAGCCCCACTCTCCTAAAATGAAAGTACTCATAATAATTGTTTGGTCCAACGTACCAATATGTACTTTTGGATCACCAAAACGTTCAAGTTTGGTAATGAATTAGCTCAATGACATTATCTTAAATGCGAAGTAAAAGTGAAGTCTGTCCTAACGACCTAACCTGTCCTAACAATCCTAGGTCACCCTGATACTGCCACAATTGATATTGATTGGTATGGTTGATATGGATTGATACAATCCAATACTGCCACCCTGGGCCTAATAAGGTACATATATGTGCTATACTAGGTCTAGCAATGTTTAGGTTTGGTTTTAGTTTTATTTTCTCGGACACTATAAAATTATAATTTGAATTTTTGAACTTTTTGGTGGTCCAGCACAGTGTAATCCATAGAGTAACGTTTTGGTAGAAAGTATCTATCAATGAGTACTAATATTTTCGGGTAATGGGTTGGCTAATTTCTATAACTTCATTGTATAATTAGTTTATATTAGCTATCCATTGAATTATCTTCTCATCATTCAAATTTTATGCTACATTTTGCAGAATACAAGTCTCACGACTCTAAACGTATTAAGTTTTTTCTATGGTTGTAACATCTGTTTACTCCAGGAACAATTGAAGTGATTTTTCAATATGTATATTCTATATTTTTCTATATATTTATTTTCACGGACAAAATAAACTTCTAAATCTAAATCCAAATTGATATTGTCTAAGTGTTACGCTGTTATTGTGACTCTCTCTCTTATGTAAATAATGTACTGTATTGCATTATCAATCGACTTGATAATGGACCAGGACGGATCGAAACGTCGTCATCTATTCAATTTCTAGTAAGTGGTTTGGTCAACATTCTTCAGCCACGTTATTGTGGCTCATCTGCATACTGTATTGTAATTGTATGTAAGCTCTTATAAATGTACACCTATCTATGAATAAAGTTTTTTATTTAATTTGAATTTACTTCTCCTGGTGCTTTATTGCACCCTTAGCGTTATTACTGCCACATTAAGGACAACTTTTGATTATTAATACTCTTCGGTTATTGCTATACTGCGACATTGCTATCATAATGGCTTTGTGCCTTCTCCTGATAGTTACAATATCTTACATTACCATATAAATAACCCATCATAACAATTATTCCGTAGCCTATTGGTAACGTACCGCTCTCTCATCTACCAACGAATATATTTGACTACACTCTCCATTCTTCAGCGCTTTAAATTCACTCTCAAGTTCATTGGGCCGAGTCACAAGAAGTAATTCGTCGCTACACACCTCTCTCTTTCGTTTATAGACAAACCCTCTCTTATGTTCTCTCTCACTCTTCTTCTTAAATCCTTCACACTCCTTCACTCTTCGCTCTCACTTCCTCTCACTCTTGTTTCTTTACAACTTAAATCATCAATGTCAGTCACTACAGCTTCTTGCATTCCTCTCAAACACTACACACAACCAACTCAACAAACAGAGCTGAGTAAAATTTCTTAGAAAATTTTCTTTCAGCAGTTTAGTCGTTCAAAAATATAATTTTTTCCAAAGTTGCTCAATATATTGCATTTGTTTGTTTTGTTTGGACCCTTTTCTTTCTTGACGCTGTGATTATTCAGGCTATAGGAGCTTGTCGTATTTTGACAGGTGTCGAGAGTATAAGCATAAAAAAACGTGAACACATGTGTTCGGAAACTTTTCATAGTACCCCATATATGTCAGTTTGGGATTATAGAAAACGGTGTATTATTTGAGAGAACGGGTTGAGATATGAGCGATTAAAATGGGAAAAATTTGTCTGGCCAGATGGTGCTTCTCAGTCTTGTAAGAGATAGTCGAAAGGGTCGCTGAGAGCTTGTTGCCTTCACTACCTCCATTACTAATATTATTGATTCCTTTACCTACACCACAGAGGACGAAAGAAGTACAGAGGTTTACTACATCCATAATGAACCAAACTACAAGTTCCGAAGCAATATCCCTACAAAGTATTACCGCAAACATGATAATTAGATCATTCACCATTTGGGTTGCCCCGCTAACTTTATCTCAAATCTTTTCTCTAAAGTTTTGCTAAAGACTGAGAAACAACA